TATAAACTGAAAAATCAAGTTAAACAAATATGAGATAGCGATAAGTTTTGAAACTAAATGACGCAAATAGCGGGTTTATAGACAAGAAATGTATTGCCTTCCTTTAAATACATATGTACATATATACATATATATCATTTCCAAGATGCATGTTTGTCCTAACACAACACTGTCTTTCACTATATTGTTTTGTTCGCTGAAATGATTCTACTCCACCCATAAATATTGAATATCAGGCAGTATTCGTATTCCTATATTTTTTGATATGTCTATACTTAAACATATTGTCTTCTTAACTGTACTATTAATTCATATCCAAGATTCACATTAGATATAGTCTTAATAAGAATCTTAGAAGTGAATATAATATAATGAAGTTAATATTTTTGAAATCTATGATAAGTTTATCACAAATAATGAAATTGGCATGATTGATTTACAGCAAGACCTTGGAAATACTTAGTACATTAGTATACAAAGGAATGACAAAATCAAACACCACCACTGGATCCCAGATCTAACGTCCCTAAACCCTAAATGATAAACCTAAATCCCTAAGCCCTAAACCCAACATCCTGACCGAGGCCCTACTTGCTCAACATCTCGGACGACATCTCTCTCGCTGGCAGGCCTTACGCTTGCTCACTGCCTAGGGAGCCCACGAGCCCAAAGTTTAGGGTTTAGGATTTAGGGTTCAGGATGTTAGTTAAGACGTAGACCTGAGCATGTTAGTAAAGAAGTATATCCTTAAAATCTGTCGTAAGGGTCTAGGCTTAGGGCTTAGGGTTTAAGCAGTATAGGTCCTCAGTCCTGATCATCAAGTAAGGTGCATTCTTGACTTGCGGGGCATGAAGCTCTCTCGGTGTGTTGTTGCCATCACCGTTCGCTACACCATAAACACCCTACCTCCCTTTCTGCTGCCACTGCCTCCAGTGATATGGCATCTACGAATCTCCCCACCAGCCGGGAGTTGAAATTTATTTGCCACAGCAAGAACAGGATATTGCATGCAATATGAGGTGATATACACATATATGTGCTATGCCGCCCCCACCCCCCCCCCCACCCCCGCACCCCCCGGCAAGGATCCGAAAATTTTCATGCTTTGGCGATCCTGAACAGGAAATTTAGTAACTTCACGGGGCTGAACTCTTATTCCTAAACGCGCATAGGATTTTGGAAGAGGATTGGGGAGCAAGATATAATGAGAAAGACGCAGAGCCCCGAATCGGAAAACAAGGGTGGCCATTTCTGCCACGAATAAGTTTGCAGAAACATTCTCGGAGTCGGCCCGCTTTTGCCCGAATCGGGCGTTGAGTCTAATCCTAAACGAACAGGATTTAGGAATAGGACCTAGGGAATAAAGCTTATAGGATTAGCAGAATAAGATTAAGGAAAAAGACTTTGCGTTCCGTTTAGGATTTAAGGACCGCCCCCTCTTTAAGCTTCAGGGAATAGCAACTAGGGAGTAGCTAAATATGGGGAGTAATTAAATACAAGGGAAGAAGATTTGGGGAACCCGCTTTTGAGGATTTGGCGACGAAGATTTAAGGAACAAGGTTCGTTTATTCCGGGCGAACTCCCCCGGAGCATCTTCAATCCCAGGCCCCTGCCGACTAAGAACTCAATCTGCTTAATTGGCCCAGGATTGAGGGTTTAAGACTGAAGATGCTCTGTAAACCTTCAATCCCAGGGCCGATTACGCAGGTCGCTTAATCGGGCCTAGGGTCGGAGGCTCAGGATTGAAGATGCTCTGGTAGTGAGCATGTTCAGTCTTAAATCTTCAATCCCAGGGCTGATCAAGAAGGTCGAGTGCTTCTTCGGCCCTGGGGTCAAAGATTCAATATTTCAGATGCTCTGGCAAAGTTTTCTGTGTCACGTTCAAGCCCCCCCTCCCAAAGACCCATATATTTCAGAGTTTGGGGCTATCTAGCTCTGTCGATTGGCTATGTGGAGTGTCAATATTAGTTATTTCTTTTTATATTTCTTGTTTTGAATGTTCATTGGTTTGTATATACTTGAATATCCCTATCTTTAGTGATCGACAGAGACTCTAGGGAGTCCACCCTCCCCTAGCAAATCCGGAGCACAGGCTTCTCTGCTTCTTCCCGGAGGGCCCCCATCAGCGTGGGATCGGGGGTCAGGGCCCCGGCTTCGATGAGCACAGAACTTCCTACAAAGGTCTTTCTCTCTGACGTCTGGAATGAATCGTTCCATAGCTGTCCTCAAATAAATGCCGAAGCTAGAAGAGCGAGCATGTGGGGTGAAGGCACAGTGGCTTGCATCCAGATGTCAGGAGAACAACCGAATCCGCCTCATGGGATTGGGAATTCCCGATCGGCTATGCGACATCTCCGTCGTCGCAGGCGCAACATGTGACACCACTGCGCAAGTCTTCCCAAACAGGTTTAGGGTTGAGGGTTTAGGGGTTAGGGTTTAGGGTTTAGGGGTCACTAGCCTGTTGCCGTCCGAGCCAACTGTACCCATTCAGCTCTGAGAAGCATCGCCAAACCAACGCAACGTCCATGCGCCCGGAGGATGCCGTGTCATCCCCCACGCGCCTGCAGCCGCAGAGGTGGCGGCTCAGATAGGGTTTAGGGTTTAGGGTTTAGGGCTTAGGGCTTAGGGCTTAGGGCTTAGGGCTTAGGGCTTAGGGTTTAGGGGTACTCATGAGTGCTGACACAAGGGTGTTAATTGGAGAGTGCGCTTGTCCCATTCCCACGCACATGACTACTTGGAGGTTCATGGCTAGTTGTCAGTAGGGCTGAAAGTACCCCGGATACGAGGTAGTTCCCAGAATGTTCACCCTACTTGTACCTACCCATGAGCCTCCAAGTACACCCCGAAGCCAGTCTGCGAATGACGACGGCTCTTCCGATGAGTCAGACGCTGCTGACTAGCCATTCTAGGCACTCACGCCATTGGCAGCTGCAAAACAGGAAAAGCACCGACTGCATTGACTGCATGCCACACAGTCACAGTTAGGGGTTGCTTCAGGCATCGTTGTTTCTTGTGGCTTCAGAGCCGTGCACTGGGTTGAGGGCTTCGGGTTTTAGGGTTTAGGGCTTTGTGGTGTGTGTCAACACAGCCAAAATGGGGAGAGCCCCTCAACACACGCCAGATTCCTCTACTCCTCCTAAATGGAAAGGCCCCCGCCCCCCTATAAACAGTACAAAGGGCACCACTTGTGTTGCGGAAAGCTGTGGAAGCTCTGCGCTGGGGGCATGCTTTGGGCTCAAGGGGGCCCCGAAGTCAGGGTCCCTGGGACTTCCTGGGCCTTAGTTGGCCGATTTAAGTCGTTGTGTGCTTGAAACTCTAGTAGCCCCTAGGGCTTCGGGTTTGGGATTTGGGTTTGGGGTTTAGGGTTTAGGGTTTTGGGTTTAGGGCCTAAGCCCCCCAAAAGAGATGAAACCCCCCAAGAGCCCTTAACTAAAACCGCACTCTCACATGCTCAACCGGAGCATAGCTGAAGAGGGGCTCTGCGTTGGTAGAGCTCCTCAGTTAAGCGTTTGGGAGAAGAGAGCTCAGGGTCAAGGTGCCCAGGATTACCTGTTGCCATGTGCTGTCCGTCGACGAAACTTCCATCTCCGGGCTGCAGCTCTTTGCGAAATCCTTGGCTGAGAATGCTGAGGCTGGGCACCGCACTTCGGTCGACACCCCTAAACCCTAAACCCTAAACCCTAAACCTTGTGGAAACCCAGCCCCAAGGCCCCAAGGCACCAGCTGCTTCTTCTTGTCCTTCACGGTCTGCCTTTTTGTTGAAGTACGTAAGGGCAGATTTTCTTGTGAGGTTCCAATGCTCTTCCCCATGTACACCGTTGCTGCAGACTTGTTGCTGAAGATGACGAAGGTCGAGCCGCAGGAGGTTCTGAAGGCCGGAGAGAAGGGAAAAAGCCTCCAGCCCTTGAATCCCCAAAACCCCTACACCCTAAAACCCCATCCCCCCCTAGCGAACCCTCCCAAAGCCAGATCTCAGAAAGCCTCTTCTGGCACGTGAGAGCTCTTGAAAAAATCTCGTGCGCCAAAAGGCGCGGGGTGAGCTCCACGTCTTCAGCGAACGCATTGGTCGTGCGGCTTTCGTGTCGCATCAGTGGCTTGCCAAGCATCACCCGGACCCGGACTTCAAGCAAATGCGCATTCTTCAGGATGCTTTGGGACAATTAGTAATTCCGCCTCCTTCCTTCTAAGGGCACCTAATCCCTAAACCTTAAACCCTAAACCGTAAACCCTAATATTCAGAAGTAGTTTTCAAAGGGTCGAAAGCACAATGCCCATTCTGCAGGATGCGTTGAGGCGGCTCCTGGGCAGCCGCGGCTCGGTTCCCCTGGATGCTGTGACGGAAGCCTCAGTACCTACTGCCAAGCCCATTCCTATGCAGGACTTTCAGTCACTAGGTAGGCCCTTGGGACATTTCAAATTTTCCCTTATTTGGGTTTTAAGAGGATCATAGTCAGGATAGTTTTTCAGAGACTTTTAGGGGGCCAACCTAGGTCAGAGTCGCTGTTCATCTGGTGCGACTACTTCTCCTGCCCGCAGCTCGAGGGCCGCCCGCAAGCCCTACGCCGGCAACCTAGGAGCCGGCAGCCAGCAGGCCAGCGCCATCCAGAGCATCGTGGCTTACGTGGCGAGATGCAGGTCCTTACGAACATAGGGGGAACCCCTAATCTAGACCCCAAAAATATGGTAGAATGATTTCCTTATAATCGGAGGCCCCAATAAGGCCCTAACTTCGTAAACCCCCAGATGATGGCCCAGATGCAGGTTCTTCTTCGCCTTGTGTCCGACTCTGGAATGCTCAGGGGAAGATGAGATGGACAAGGGGGATGGTGCAAGGTTGAAAAGGCTGCTGGGTAGGCCCTTGGGATATTTTATGTTTTCCCTTCTTGAGCTTAAGAGGATCATATTCGAGAATATGTTTAAGAGGGTTTAAGGGGCCAACCTAGGCTGCCCGCGAGCTGTCTACAAATAGCAGCTGGATTCTTGTTCAGAGCGACAAGGTCATGGAAGTTGTTGGCACTGCAACGGCTCTAGCACCTGGATCCATGGGCGAAGGCCAGTTCTCTATGGCGGAGGATCGTGAGAAGCTTGCCCCCGTCATGCGCAGCACTGCAGAAGCTGCCACTCTCAAGGGTGGTATTGTTCCGGCCATGGGCGGCCAAGCACTGTCCAAGAACCTGGTTGGCTACACGACTTTGCAAGTTGCATCTGGATATGGGGCGCTAGCTGCCGCAGAGGAGCTGCTCTCACAGCGCTGCCCGGGCCCACTGGAGCTGTCGCGTGCCCTGTGGAATGCTGCGACTTTTCGGGGCGGCTCGGCGGAGCTTGTACACCGTCTGGTCGAACCTGTACCCTTTTGGGGAGTTTTTTCTTTTTGTTTATATAAAGCCCAAAAGGATATTAAGTATAGTGTTTTTTTACAGAGGTTCTAAGGGGAGTAGAGGAACTGCGTGCCGATGTCGACTTCCAGCTCAACGTGCCTCGCGAGCTCAAGCCTTTGGGTCGGCTGGTCTTTGCAAGTCAAGTCCTTGCAGCACCTCGGTGGGCCCTCTTGGGATATTTTGTGATTTTCCCTTGTTGGGCTAAACAAAAGATCATCTTCAAGAATATTTTTTCAAAGGGTTTAAGGGGCCAACCTAGGCACTGGCTCGGACAGGCCACGGTCGTGACGGAGAACGCGGTCCATCAGCACGGAAGCACGCCACTGATGCAGGGGTTTAGGGTTTGGGGTTTAGGGTTTAGGGTTTAGGGTTTAGGCCATCCGCACGGCCCAACCGGAAGTTGCTGCGGCCCTGATCGCGGCGGGTGCCCGAATGGACCTGCAAAATTGCCGCGGCTTGGTTGCGGCCGACTTTGCCAAGGGACAATCGATCCCCAGTTTCCTTCAGGCCGGCCTGCATGGGAACCCAGGGGAATGCCGGAAAGTCTTCCAGCTGGTGCTGGCTGACAGCTTTGTGGAGATGTAAAGAGTAGAGGTATGCTCTTGGCTTGGAAGCAGTCCGCCATGCGGGCGGATGCTGCTACAGCCTGGGAGCATGAAGCTACCTATTTAGGTTTTTCCGCAAACTCTCACAAATATTGTCCGTCTTTTTGGATGCCTTCTGGCCACTGGCCGAGGAGCAATACCAAAGCAATTCAGAGATCAGTCCAGTGCTTGGAGTGGCCGACTGCGTCTAGGAAAGGCAAGGCAGACCTGTCAGGGAAGTTCCGAGCGGCTCAGGTGATTCGGTGATTCGGTCCCCTAGCATGTGCCCTAGAAACTCCACATGATAGGACCCCCATTACAAGTGTATGGAATGTTTTCACATGCTCACCGTTAAGACCCCTCTACCCTAAACCCTTATCATGATTCTTTGCCGTCGGTGGTTTGCTCAACAGACAGCGCAAGTCACGCATGAAAATGACCTGCCCCCAAGATTCTGTAGAAGCGATACCGCGCGCCGCGGGAGTGCTCGACAGCTTTCAAGAGCACGTCCAACGACATGCATGTTAACTTTGCTTGTGACCTTGGGCGTGGCAGAGTCCACAGCCACATGCAATGGAAGGCTATGGGAGACGCGAGCTCTTCTTGTTCTAGTTGCGCTATGAAACTCCGGCGTCGACAATTCGCACGTGTCGCTGAGTCGGGGAGCCGCTCAGCGTTCTGTATTTTTGCTGCAGGCATCCAAACCAGGGCGGCGCTTCGCATCCCAGGGCGACTGCGCGAGGGCAGCGATCAGCACGATCCATCTTTGACATGACGAGTGTCGCTGTTTTGTTTTTGTCTGGCCCTGGCGCTTTGCAAGAGAAACGAGTGCATCCTGTCCTTGGGTCATCCGCATTTGCAGGCTGTTTCCAGCGGGCAGCACGAGGCGCGAAGCGTTCTTCGGATCCATTCGTTTCACGGGCGTCTCGGACCACCGTGACCGCGAAGCCCGCCCATCTTCTCCAACTTGGAAGTTTTGCGGGCAGTGGCGATGGTGACTGCCTTGGCACGCATTAGCAGCGACCCGTCCGTGCGCTCGGCAAGGGGACGACGTGCTGACGATCCGAGCACGCCTGGATCAAGGGCAGCAAAATGCTGTCAGACCCTGGCATAAGTCCTGTGGAGAAGCTTCCACGACCACGCAGGCCCTGTTCTTTGCGCCTGTTTGAAGGAGGCCGCAAAAAATCAAAATGGGAAATTCCAAGGGCTGGTCACACGCACGCTTCGCTTCAGCCGCGGACCTGTGTGACGAAAACACACATCCAGAACTCCCGTCGCATCGCGCAGGACTGATTTGAACCAGACATTCCCATGCTTGTCGTGCAGCTGGTCATCTAGTGGAAGGCACACTTCCGCTTTGCTTATCTGCCAGAGGAAATTGCGTTCTTCTCCACTGAAACGTGAAAGCAAACGAACGCCACCTTGCGTCGTTAGCTCTGTGGAAGAAGTCTTTGTCTGTATGGAGCATGGCCAGATAGGCGCCTTCCAAAGTCAACTTGGCAACACTTTCCGGTTTAGGGTTTAGGGTTTAGGGTTTAGGGTTTAGGGTTTAGGGTTTAGGGTCCACCTTCCCAACCGAAGGCCATGCACCGGCAAGTCTGGTCGCCGCCTCTCCGACAGCTTGGCGACTGCAAGTTCTTGAGTTTGTAAAGGAACATGCTTGCTTATTCCAGTATCAACAATTTCTCCATCTCGCTGTCGCTCGTGGCCACGAAGAAAGCAACTTCATTGAAACCTGTTTGCCGTCCTTCTGGGACCGCTTGAGCGCTAGACAACCAGGGCACGTCTAACTGAACATCGTCGTGTTTCGTGAAATGGAGAGGCTACAAGGTGCGCGGGCGGACAAGCTTTTGTTTTTTCTGCCAGGGGTGTGAAGTCGGACGAATTGGCGACGTTCTGGCGAGCATATCCGTTGACGCTGTTGTTTCCCGCCGATGCCATAGACGTTTGCGTGTGTTAGCGGTTCTCGGGACGACGACGCCTTTGATGCCCCCGATGCCCGCTGACGCCGTTTATACGCCATTGTGAAGGTGACATCTCCTTTTCTGCGCATTGACGCTATGTGACGCCATTGACAGCGGTTGAAGCTGTTGACGCATTTTGACACCGCTTAATGCTTTTCACGCCGGTTGACATCGCTTTCATCGATACCGGAAATCATGAAGCTTGCTTGGCAGACCAAGCTCTCTGCACGCGCAGTGTGTTTGCGAAAGTTCCACATTTGGCGGTTAGTCGGGCTGATGTTCTGAATGCCGACGCCGTTGATGTTTGGCGCATATTAATGCCGCGTGACATCGTCGTGGCTTGCTTGGCAGACCGTGCTGCTATCAGCAGCACACGGCGTGGTTGCAGACAGTCAATACTTCTCGGTAAACCACATGAATGGCGTTGACACAACATGTGCCGTGTTAGGCTGCGCGTTTTCGCGCGTTGGGCCGATGCTGTTGACGTCATTGACGCTGCGGGTGACACTGATGGTGACTCTGATGCACGTTCATGCCGTTGCCCCCGTTCACGCTGTTGACGGCTGACGGCATTGACGTTGTTCTCCGGGTCGATAATGTCATTGCATCAGTGCATCCCGCATTTTTCGGCGTTGACATCGGTTGACGCGATGTGTTTTCTTTTTCAAGTAACACGAAGCGTCGTGGCAATGGAGGCATGATCATGCCGGCATGATGGAAGTATGCGCAATCTTTCATGGGCATGCAGGCAAAGCATGCCGGGCTGGTCATGATGGTGCGGTAAACAGGACACACGCTACTGCAGACACGCTCTATTCCGCGCAGTCGTGCAAGGCATGCATTTTTTCAGGCGCGGAGTGCAGAATGTTAGCAACCACACCACATGTCTTGCGCCCGGCCGCATGGAAAATAAACAACTACAACTGTCGTCACTGCAACGCAGAACGAGGCATGAAGAAGGTGGTATTCCCTCCTGCTTTCTCACGGGGGTCCGATACGTCATGGTCTCCCATGATCATCCTGCGTCGCGAAATCTTAGTTTACATGGCCCTGCTGCCGCGGAGAAGCACGCACGCACGCACGCACGCACGCGCACACACACGCACACGCACACACACACACACACACACACACACACACACACACACATGAGCGGGCAAATGCAGGCATGAGCATGCTTTGTCGTTTTGACAGTGGCTTGTTTGGCATTCCCTGGCATTCCCTGTTCTCGTGAGAAGCCGATCATGGGCGATGGATGGATGGATGGATCGCGGATCGCGACTGGGGTGTGACAGCCATGGGTCAAGCGTCATTGGAGCTCCCGTTGGAATTCAAGTTCCCAACGCCCCCAGAGAAAGGTGCCCGGCAAAGCACACCATGACCCGCGTCCCCTCTCCGCAGAGTGTTATTTGTTACAGGCAGGGGTGTGTGCAGCAAGACAGTCATGGGTCCTCGTAGGGTTCGCGATCCCAACCATAGACCAGCTCGCCATCCTTCATATTCACCCTCACATGGGTGAAGGCGTTGGGCTGTGCTACTCGTAGAAGACGCTCGATGTGTAGCTCTGCACAGCACAAAGGCTGCGGTTTTCATACGAACGCACACAAAAACTATGGTTTTCATACGAAAACAGATCGATGTTTATCTCTGTGAGACAAATACTTTGTTTTCGTACGGAAACATACAAGTTGTAGTCTACTTGTTGATAACGCTTTATTCTAGCTCCGCTCCTCAAGGGCAGGTAGCCGCGTTGTGACGTGGTGTTGAAAGCAACCGTCCTGCTTGCCTGCGTCTGCGCCATGTAATTGTATTCTTCACTGTCATGCTTTGCAGCGTCGGCTGAGGCGGGTGGGTGGGCGCCCCATAGACTTAGCTTGCTTGGCTACTAAAGCGTCGCCAGCTTGCTGCACTTTCGATTGTTCTTGCCCACCCTACTTTTGTCCCGCCCTGAACATCGCGCAGTTTGCAACTGTCGATCTTGTGTTGTTCAAATGATCTTGCACGTGTTCTCCATGTGCCATACCCTAAGCCAGGGCAATGGCCCGACAATGCAAGGATCACCTGAGATGCTCCCCCGTTGCAAAACGAAGGTTTGCAGTGCGCTTCGGATGTCCTTAGCTTAATTTTGCAGGTGAGAGCGTGCGTAAGAATAAAAAGAAAAAACAACAGTGTTTTCCATATCAAAAGCACACCTAGCTCATGGTTTTTCGCAGCAACACCAAAACTGTGGTCACAGATCTGCGTGTGCTCAGGTCGGGGTGCTCGCGCAGAGAGCGGGGCCCCTTGAACGGGCTGCGGCGCGCATTTGCCGTGAGGCCGGAGCACGGGTGGCCACCAGCGTCGCCCTTCGGGACCTCAACCTCGACGCGCCGGCGACGGATGGCCGGAGGATCGAGGTGGTGGCCAACGGCCTGCCTCTGTGGCAGGGGGCGCAGATTGCGGTGGACACCACGTTGGTCAGCCCTGTCCGACGCGACAGGCAGGCGAGGCCCGGCGCAGACGC